TCAACTAGTATTATGATCGGGTAATAGCACGATTTCGCTTCATTTAGTTTAGAACAACGGCAGTTCGCTGGGAGTGTGAGCTGACAAAATTCTGAGAATCTCCAGTAACGCATGGAAACACTCACTTTCGTCATACATTTCAACGACTGTGAAAAAAGAATATAAAAAATCCATGAAGGAAATATATACAATGTAATAGAACTAAGCAATTCTATCTAGCAAATAGTCTTCCAGGAAAACAATTTTGATGAAAAAAATTGCATGTAATTTTGTTTATCCAATAAAATGGAAATTTCAGTCACAGAGTGAAGATTCCTCGACACCTGATTAGTCAAATGCTGATTCACGTTTTCTAACAGAGTGTCACATAGTTTCACTGAAATGAGGTTCTTGCGAATTTAAGATATCAGTAACAGGCATCATTACCTATATTTAGCATGATGGCCATTCTGAGTAGAAATTTCAATGATGATGATTGATAAACACACATTTCAAGGCAATATCGTGAACTATCGCTTGGATGCAATACATCGGCAAAATATGGATGACGATGAGCGCCATGTATGTGATTTACACTTGGGTACCGAGCTGTGCGGCGTTTTTTTGGTTAACACCCACGATAACCCCCGGTAAACTAAAATTCGCGAGTCAGGTCTTGGATTTCCGTTGAATGCTTTTTAGTAAACGCATGCAAAGAAACGTTTGTGCTGAATTTTGTTGGGTGTTAAGAAAGAAGGATTCTATTTTATACAGTGATAAGCTAAGTGTTTATTTAATACAGCGCAGACACTCAGGTCCTATAAAACTGCAATCATGAGTTGAAGGGACTCTGCTAATCCCTTCTAAATGACATTGACATTTTTGTTCATATCTGATGACCTCAGTTCTGCCTCCAAAATTAGCGGGGAAGACAGATTTTTGACGCCGCCTACCATCTGTAATTATCTACAATACCCAGTTATTTCACCGGTTAGTGAAGCGTTTTACATAAAGAATAATTTCTGGTAATAGAGACGCACGACTGAAGTAAATGCGTACATTCGCAGGTCAGGAGATGCCAACAGCGTGCAGTCCATAGAATGTGTAATTTTTGATTTTGTATCCATCAGATATTCCCTACACTGCGTCGGGCCGTACTTAGGGAGAAAATAGATGAAAATGCCCTGGGGAACTTGGAAACTAGAAAAATGTCAAAATCTACTAACAGTCAGTCACGCACGTTATAGTATTTTCGTTGTTCTAGTACTTGGTATTCGCATCATCAACTGCGAAAATAGCCCATAGTTTTGATAATAATTTGGCGCACGAATTATAAGAAATTTCCGGAATTTCAAATTTATGTTTGTACTTGCCGGAATTTCCCGTTCCACAAGTGTTGCTTTTACTCGTACAAGGTACTTGGGTGCATACTGTCACAAACCACACCGACTATGTCTACTCATGGCGTACTGCCTTTCCAAAAGCTCAGGTCTGTTATGTTCGTCCGACAGGCCAACAAACGGTTTGTTTGTTCTTCATTTTACTCTGTGTACGGGATATAACTGCAGTAAATTTCCGCATTCTACATAGATGACTTCCGCCAGCACTAATGAATAAAGTATACCACATGATCACGTGCTCCCGATAAACCCATATAACCATCGGTTGTTGGTAAAATGAAACTAGTATTTGAAGCACGCAGAAATACAGGAGGTGATGTAAGTAAACTGGAGCTTTTACTGGATTCCAGAACACAAGATATGCTGGATGCTTCAGTTGGGAAATATTCCGGTTTGCGCGTTATTTATCTCCTTTATTTCTGCTCTGTGTTTGACGCAGGCCATTGTACGTTTTATTTAAATGGTTTTGTATGGTGGTTTTTATCAGCCTCATGTTAGAACACGAGACGTTTCTTAAGGTTCATTGCACCGATGTCATTAAAATCTACATACGCGCGTAATGAGCTCTAAAGTTGCAGAGTTACTATCGAAATCGGATGCTTTGTTTAACCTTTTACATCCATTTATGAGCATTCAACACGACTCCAACCTTGTAGGCTTTTACACACATTCAACTTTTACCTACTTTTCCGCGTGTGTTTGACGGAAATTCCAAAAGCTTTTTATCTTGGTCTGGCGAGGTAAAGTGTGTTTTTGATAGTGTTAGACGTTTATGTCAATCTACTTCCATCTAACAATTGTTTGTTTATACATTACGAATGTCGTAGCGAGCACTTTAAAACGTACGAAATTTCGGCACCACTCAATTTTAAGTGTTTTAAAGTTTCATAGACAGGATTATGCCGGATTGGCCCGGAATGATAACAATGAATTTCAAAATCGTGGGAGTACAAAAGAAAGCCACATGAACACTCTTGAAATAAGCGCACCGATTGTGTACTAAATTTTACATGTATTTAGTGCTCAACAAAAGACATACCTGGCTTTATGGTTTCGTCAGCTGCAAAGAGCATACGATTAGGGGTAAAAGTGTGGTTTTACTCGCTACTGGGTGAAAATATAAACTAATATGAACGAGAAAATGATGATCCACTGAAAGTTTAGAGCAAACAAATTTATGCATGAAAAAGCACACGTACTCCATGTTTCTGGTGTCAGTTCTAAGTGGGAATCAATATTAATTAAATTAGTCAGACACATTTACTTGAAGATGGGGAACCGCAAAACACTATTCCAAGCAAATGATAATAAATGTATGAAGTCTCATGATGAAGGAAACTTCTTGGAACAAAAAACATCTATCGAACGAAGAACGAATCATGAATTCCCCAAATTTTTTCATCCTCAAACGACGTCAAAATGAGCCCAGAGATTTCACAGATCTGTTGAATCTGGTAATCCTGTGTTTAAAGGTAAGCATTAACTTGGGTATTTGGTAACCAAGTTAGGCAGTTTATCAATTAAGCAACTGCGGACATTAGTTTTGGAGATAAATTATGATGTTTCAATGCTTTCCATTAAGGTTATGTTGATCTCACACAAGCGAGACACACAAGTGAATAGCGACCTTTATATAGAAATTCAGCAGGAGCGAGATAGTACCNGCAGGAGCGAATAGTACCCTTGACCAAAAAAATATTTCAGTCATGAAGAAACGAGGAGGCTAGAGCGAGAAAACTAGAGATTTATCATGAACACTTGGCCCAAAAAAAAGATGGCTAATTGTATAGCAGCGCAAGGAATACCCTTAGCTTAGCTTAGCAACAATAAAACAAATACATTGAAAGTGTAGCGTGGTTATCAAACTGTGGGATCTGCTCTGCCCTTACAGGCTTTTTGGTTCATTTTTTTCTCTCTCGGTGGGACAATATTAGTGCAATGTGTTGTTGACAAGAACTTTGTCCAAGCGGCGGGAAAATAGATTGCGTATTCATGTACGTCGTTAATTTTATTGCCGACCAACAAAATGGTCTGCTATCAATTACTATTTATCGGGAATTCGTCATTTGGTAGCCAACAACTTGTGCGGGGTTTCTGAAAAAGAAATGTCACCCAATGCGGTGGACGTTAAACTAACCAGCTAACTAGCTTTGGCGAGCTCCCGGGTGTTTCCTACTCCAATCAGTTGATACTACCGTAACCTTGAATGTCCACACACCTGCTGATATTACTTACATGGGGATGGTGGCCCAGTTTACTTCACAAAGCCACCAAGACTTAATCAGATCTCATGTGTTGGCATCTGGTAAATTAGGAACGGTGTACAAGCAATCTTTTGAACACGATCGGAAAAATTACGGAGAAAAATACGTGCAATGCTGGGTGCATATTTTCTAGAAATAGCGTACGCAAAAAAGGGCACGATCTCACTGATCGTCCTCCAAAGCTTAGTATTCAAGAACAACGGAGATGAACCACCAAATTATACCAGCACCAAGTGACAACTCTGAGTCTTAATGCAAGCAAATCAGTGCGAGCAGTAACGCGACTGGTACTTGTATATTGATCATTTTGATAGATGAAATGCGCTGCCGTGCTTGGTGTTCACACTGATATATTCATCTGACTGCATACATTTGATGTGTAGTAGGGTGAAATGTAATACTGAAATTTAATGAGGCTATTCTTTTAGAAAGGTACTCACGAAGCTTTGGCCGCACTGAAAAGTAAATCGTGTTATAACTGGGTGATTCTGAAGTCATTATTCAATCCAATAAATACGACTTTAGGAAATATATCGCGTAGAGGAGAATGTGCCTCAGAAACGAGGAAGTTTGTCCACACAAACGTTTTCTTCTCTGTTGTCCATTCATTTGCTGTATATATATATATATATATATATATATATATATATACGCATTCGATATGCATATTCGCGGCAAACTTAATAATACGTGGAAGAAATGCTTTGAGTTCAAGCTTTTTGCTGGAGATCACACCCTGTAAACGATACAAAACTTGTAAGGAACATATTGTTAAACCCACCACAGGTACTTTAGAATGAATGGGTATCGTAATAGCTGAACTGTAGTTTGCTTGGTTGCAATGACTTACCGCTATTTTGCAGCTTAATTTTTACTAAACATGCAAGGATTAGTTTTGGAACAATAAACCACGCATAATGGGGAGGTAGCTACTTACGGCACTAATGTGAGTTTGGAAATGTTTTCAGCTTTACTTTCAGGGATTTGTTTTAAAACGCTACGGTGATTTTTCCACACCCATGCAAACGATATATGTAGTAACCTAAATCGTTGGCACAACGAACATAACTGAAAGTAGCACTCAAATGCCTGTGGGCAAGAAGTTTTATGAGGAAGTGTTTGTTTACGTATGTATGCAGCTACCAGACACAATTACAAAATGGGTGTCATCTGTATATAAGAGTAAGCATTAGTGAAAACGTTACTCTAGTATTCGTTGTTTGCAGGCACTTTGAAAATTCCAAAATTTTTCATCTTTTCTGTAATGCTCTACTCGTAAGGTTGCTGAAAATTTGTCAGCAAACTTATGTGTAGAGCATTACGAATATACATCATCGCGATATCTCGTATATCTTAGCGAGTGAAACATGGGGCGGCCTTGTGCAACACATTCAGTTGTCTGGAAACATCACCAACGAGTGATCCAGCTGGGTTTCAGGTAAGTCTCTTGTAAAACTAGATTCATTTACAAATAGTTGTATGTCGATAATTTTACCTTTTGTTTACCATACAGTAGCGTTTGATAAAATAGAAGAAAGGTGTGGAGAAACGTTCAAATGAGAAATTAATAATGGACTAGCTGGTCACTATGTGATCGTAACGTGTGCATTCGGTGATCAAAAGATCTGTGGCGCGCTCTCCAGATTCACACAGCCAGTCAGTCGCTCGCGGCCGGAAGGTTTAATCTTCAAATCGGGGTTTTCGAATTTTTTATGCTGACGGTTTTTGCCGCTGATTAGCTGCAAATCCAATGAGTGAGCCGTATGTTGAGTTTTGACGCTTGTGCAGTATCTTCTTTACGTGCAAGTCAAAAGTTTCATTAAAAAACCATGTCATTATTCTCCAAAGCCTTGTTTTCCGTAATTGAGTGAATCCAGTCCACATTCATGGGCTTTTTTAAATATTAAGGAGATGGAACAAGCACGACTGTTTACGGAGTCATCAACTTTGAGGTTTTTGCATTGAAACAAGGGAATTTTTGGTACAGACACGCTTATGTTATCCTTCATAGGTTTGCTTCACGTCACCTTTGGATAGCCTTAATCTGGGTGATTGAACTGCTGATAAATGAACTTTTATATGTTTTTCCAACAAAATACAGGTTACTCACTTTTTTCGCACTCAACCACCACTATAACAATCATGGTGAGTATTAGGAAATATATTATAATCAAGCAAGGATATGGAATCCAGTCAGAAGCGGTAAAAGGAGATACGAACTCACGTGATTGGTCATTGGCTGTGACAAACATTTGGACATTGTTTCTACCAGATTAAACTAGATCATTTAGGCATTTAATAAGGCCTACGAACTATACAACACAAGATACAAGAGATGGGTGGATGAAGAGTTATATTTGCTTCAATTTAGACATTATACATTTAGATCACCATTATCGGTTTCGTCAGGGAAACCTGTGACTTACGATTGTTAAGACTTTCCATTCCTTTATGACAAGGCAAAAATCATATAATATAGCACAGGAAAACATGATTACTTGGGATTCAGGTCATGATTAACAAATCTCAGAATAGTTGAAGAAGTTGAAGTATTTATACCGCACCAAAAGATTCGCTTATGACAGTAGATTTTCCCGAACCAATCAATAAATTTCCTGCTGCTTCCTCAGGGAATATCTGACAGCAGCCGTGGTCGTGGGGGCACTGCCAGAGATGATTCTCTCTTTGGGTTCATCTATTCCGTTCCTTTCCTTCTGTTTCACATCCATTGTTTTTGATATGAAACTGACTATCTTTGAAGAGGCATCTGAGTTCTTCCGTGTCAACATAAGAAGAAACGAAAAATCTGGTGTAATATGATACTACAGGACACCTACAGGATGAGCTTTGTATCAAGGTTTATCTGCCCCGCTCTCAAAACGCGAGATTATCACAATTATTAAACAATCCGAATCTTCCACCCTAATATAATGGTAAGGCTTGAATGTTGCAATGGTTCAGCGGGCTACACTGGCTTGAACTTGGTTCCATGATGTGCAACAATGCCAGAAATGTCAAAGGAGAGCTATCAGATCAAGTGCACCGAGACCACGTGCTAGCAGGTGACCAGGGGGTAAAGTCACATTTCCTTCCAGGAGATAAGTGTAAGGCCAGTAAGGTGTCTCCCGGGGTGACTATGTTTGTGGAAGCAGTGATGCTGCCTCCCCGGAGGAAGGGTGGATAAGAAAAGGTCATTACTAAGAACCGCACACTCCAATCACCCAATGGTGTACAATTAGATCCGATGCATTGTTCTGTGTTACCAAAATACTTTTAAAATCAGAAGTCCATGGCTGTCCAAAAGGCGCCTGCTGCGTTCTGCCATGTCAGAAGTGAGAAAGAAATCCCTTGTGGTTAGGCCAACCTTCTGCAGCCGAGGAGATCAAATAATGAATCATCGGCTGCAAGCAGTGGCTAGATGGCTCAGTGGTTACAGCTCCCGTTAACATAGAGGAATCAGTGGTAGCCAATCCGTGTCTTGGTAGAGGGGTATGATAGGGAATACGAAACTTCTGGGTGCTGTCGTTGCTGCTCACCTTCCAGGATTGAGACTGCGTGATCCCCACTGCACCTGTTTGGAGGCGTTCCAAGATATGGCTGCCAGTATGGTGGCATTCTTGTTGCAAGTGTCAATCAAGATTGTATGGGAGAGTATCTGGAGATGTGGGCACCTTGGAATTATTGCGGTAAACTGGCACGAATTATCCTTTTTTTCATCGTTATTTTCTTCACAAAAAGATTTTCAAGTAAATCAAGGTTGTACGACAACGAAACGTCTGTATAGAACATGGATATCATGATGTCGAGTAAGACGATGATAAAGGTATACACATCTGCATAGTTTGCCCACCTTTGGTTGATATACTGAAGTTTCTGAACTGGAAGATCGTACTGGTGACATAGGGACCGTTGCTCCATTGTTTCATATTCTTAGGATTAATTTTGGCTTTCTACCTATTATACCACTGTGCACAAAAATAAGCGAATAGAGTGGAAGCAAAGAATTAAACTGCATGGTGGTCTGGTAAACTAAGATGCAGGGACGGTCCAGACTGCGCTGAGCACAAATGGATCACAAACATAGTACAGCGCAGTGTTTGGGGTCAATCTCAAAAGTCAAGTGAACGTTGATCACACGCACAAAATATATGAACCAGAAACACTCGTGATGAAATAGATATTAATGATCAAATGTTCATAAGAAGACGTCCATGCAAGTAAAATATCATTAACTGTTGAGGATGTCAGTATCCTCGAATGCTATTTGCTTGGCCAAATTTACTTTCTGAAAATTTATATTTCAGACATTCGCGAACTTTCCACCATGTTGTAGATTATTAATCAGAGGGGATCGCTCCTCTTCCTGTTGACCAGTTACACTTTGTGCGTGCTACTTTATCATTCTTCAAGGTGGCTTATGTATACATGAATATTACGAAGCTGCCTCCATATTTCGCTTTTTTGTTGGAACAGAAAATGACCACCGAAGGTCCAGTTATCTTCCGTCTTCGCTAGAAATGGTTTGGATCGCATCATATATAGGGATTTGTGCGCTGTTCTCAAGTCGTGTGTAGCCGCTAGTCGCACCCGTTTAAATACACAATTCTAACGCACCCCCATATTTTGTCGCAAAGTTACACGGACGATGTTACCATCAGAGTTGATGAAACGTCTGCAGTCAGGTCGCATAGGCCCCTTAGGAGAACATTGTTCACCCAGCATCACGCTCGATAACAAATCGTGTGTCGTTTTCTTTCAGACGGTAAGTATACGCTTCTATAACTTTTCTGTGTAGGGAGACACTGGGAGCTTTGTGAAAATCTCGCAGTAGAGTATCTTAAGTGCGAACACAGTAGGCATAGTGGGTCGTTTTGTAGGAATCACCAGAATTGCTGGAATTACTAATGATTGTGTTTACAGCCATTTTGCAGAAGCAAACTTCTGCACATTATCGATTTAGTAGTATTTCCGCTGTATTCGTATTCAGCTAGAACAAAGTGAATGAAGGTGATTTGCGGAATACCATGCATGATTAGGAACTGTGTCACTTACGTTTCGCCAAAAATGCCTTCCACTCTGCAGAAAGGGCAAGAAAAGATGTTCAAGTCTACTAACCTGGTTACAGTGTAACAACCTTTGCTTACAGGTATATCAGCCAACGGGTTTTCACATATATTGCAATCACACCTAGAATGTCTCCGATGTACCTAATCTCGCAAAGACCCTGCCTCCTCATTAGGTGGCGCTAAAGTTGCAACGCAACTGGCAAAGTCTGCGAATTGATCAGCTGTCGCCCAATCAATGGCTAGGCAACTCACCCAGTTCATCCATATTTAGACACGTTAACAACAACTGCCTAAGTCTGCAGATCTAGGATGCATAAAGCGCAAGCAACGAAAAGTAGACCACCTGGAAATATCCGGAAAAGTGTTGATAATAACTACTGACAGAGGCGTGTAGTCCAGCATGATCAATTTTGTGGGATTTTAAGGATGAACTGCGCGAAATCAAGAGGTACAATTTACGGGACAGTAAGCCACAGCAAGGAAATAAGTATAAGTTTTCCTTGTAACTAGAAAATGGAGCTGAGTTATGGTTTTTTTTGGACTGCAAGAGGATAACTCAAGGCTGTCGAAACAAAACCATCAAGACAAACGTCCACAAGAAAAGCATTTACGTGCATGCCATTCTGGAATGAAACGTACAGAAAATTAGAAGTGTATCTAGGACAGATAGAACGAGTACCAGAAAACCCAGTTCTGCGGTTTGTTGCTGTAAGGCCAGCAAATCTAATCAACATTTTTATGCACTCACGAATGCAAAGTGCAGACACAAACTAACAAGGCCGATGATCGCTTTGTAGAGTAACCAAATTTTCAGGGACTTGTTTGGTGTTAGCCAATTGTATGACCAAAACCAGCACGCGACTTGACTGGATAGTGCCACGAAACTTCCCACAGATAGCTAGTGGGCTTGCAGGCTACGTTCACATGTGACAAAATTCAGGTTATACAATTACACCTTGCGAACATCATCATCGGAAGGAACGAAAACTTTCACGAAAATTTTGTGGAACATCCCCCAACGAATTATATGGGTGTGTTGAAATGCCACGTTTCAGTTTTAACCAAACGAATACCAGCTGTAAGCAATTCCGATCCAGGCAGCGTTAAACATCTTTTTAACAGTTTTACATGTGGTGCAAGGAGATATACCAAGCATATCTTAAGCACAACTGATTAAACTGCAGTTTAGATCATAAGACTATTTTGTTTTTGAAAACCTCTTGGCGCGACAATTGGTGAAACGATCGCTGAATAACTCAGACGCCCAAGAAACATTTTCTAGAAACACGGTACATTTCAGAATTAAAGGCACGACAACGGCAGTACTGTACGTCATTTAGCCGGTATTTCTCAACCAACTACTAGTTCCTTA